GCTGTTGGCCATGACACACTCGTACAATACCTATTTTTGCAGTTAGAGAGCAATATCTAATTGCAATCTCTAGACGTCTGGAAATCATGCACGCCTTTACAATGCCTGTTGCCTCGAGTGACCGCATTCTCGCCTCACCATACGATTCGTCCCTCCAGATACTGCACGTCAAGCGGTATGAATGCTACCCGCTTGAACCGATCTTCTGATAACCCACGAACCCTGCTAGTGGCGTTGTCTTGCACATTATCGGGGATGTCCATATAGCCTCGTCAGCTTCACCGTGAATGGCGTGCTAGACAGAGCCGTTCAGCTAACCACCATCGCCCAGTATGCTGCCATCCAGTCTCGCCATTTGGCAGCCATGCCTCTCTGCCTGCTTGTTTACGCGTATTCGGCATCTTATACCGGCCTCACAGACGGTTTAGCTAATTCATCAAATAATTGCAATTCACTATTAAATTGTAGCACCACAGCTGCTCTAGTAAGTACGGCATCATTTTGGAACCGGTTCGGAACTCGGTTTCGGAACCTCGGAACTCAACTAATCAACCGCAGGAGTCATGGCAAGAAAGCTTCTCCAGCGCTCGTCGTTCTCATCATGCTTCCACTGCATGCAGAGACGAAACGTCTCTGGATTCTCCACGTGAACAAACGTCTTCATCACGAGTGGATCGTCGATCGTCGTTGATCCTTCTTTCAGACGACTGAAAACGCGATCTATGCAATGCGCATCTAAAACCTTCACGAAGATCTCGACCTACACACGAAGACGTTAGTTTGATTGCACACACACCACACTCATGCGCACCTTGTATCTGCTGCCAATTGATGGCTTCTCGACAGGTCCAGGAACGGGAACCATGTTGACAATTGGAACGTCATAGCTGAGAGCGTCATAGAAGCCATGCATTTCACGAGAAAGTGCAAGCCGGTTGTTCGTGTCACGATCGTACTTGGCAAACTCTCGTTTGTGGTCCCTGCTTTGCTTTCTTGACACCAAATGACAGCTTTCGGCGTTGCCGTATGGCAAGAAATACCGCTCGTGTTCAATTCGTTGATAACGAAACTCGTCGGTCGAGGCATCCAAAATCGAGACGCTTGAAGTCAACGATATAGATGACATTGTGTCTTGCGGCGACTCCGACTCCAGTGGGTCATAATGGATGAAGTAGATGCGCGTTAGCTCAGTGGGCACACCTTCAAATTGCGCAACGCTTGTCGTGACTTCTTGGCCATTCAGCGGAGAGCCCAGCGTTACTGGCTCTTCCTGTAAAGCATTGTCGAATCGCAAAGCATTTTCTTCTGCAATAGCAACACGCGAGTCAACACAAGCAGACTGCCACACAGCAACGAAATGCTCACCTGTCTTGAACAGAATATGGATGCACAAGGTCTTGTCTTCATACCAGAGCGCGACATTCTTGTCACCAGTGCGACGAGCAGGATCATAGTATCCAAGATATGTTCCAGCCAAGCGGTACAGCCTGCAGCGAACTCCTTTTATGCTGAGAGCATTCGCAATCGATCCACGAACCAGCCATAAACCTGTCTGCTGCCGTGGTGCCACGTCAGCCGAGGCTGGGAGTTCCACCAACACGTGAATCTCTTCACCGGAGGCGAAGTCTGGCCCAAACAACTCGTCATTGTTGAGCTTCAACCACGGATACATCTTCTTGTACGTAGTGTCGACCTTTCCGCGCAGCAAGTCTTCCACATTCTGACCGCCAGTCAGCCACTTCATTTCATTGCCTTGCTTCTTCCGCGCCAAGTACAGCGTCATCTTGGCTGGGTAAACCTCAACGCGGTTGCTCATGACTCTGTATGTACTTGCGATCTTCTCCTGCAGCGCGCTCACTCTGGCATCGCGCGCGATCGTCACGAGGAACACAATCCCTTCCTCATAT